CTCCGTGGGGGCCCCAGCTCCCCCCATCCTAAGAGCTCCTTGGAAAGGAGAAGAAAAAGGAGGCCACTGCTGCCTGAGTAAATTAAAAATTGCGTACTGGTGCTAAGCAGCTTTTTGAGCAGGCTATTTTTCACGGAAATTCCTCTTCGTTCCCCTTAGGATCTTTCCCTCTTTTAGTTCACGTCACCCGTTGCACTAAAAGGACGTGGGGTGAATTTAATACTCCTGAAAGCAAAGCCCCAGTGCTCAACCTCAGCTCAATATCTAATTCCTCCCAGCTCTGCCAGTGCATCTCAGTTTCCGTCTCCAGCACCGACGCTGCTCCTTCTCCTCCCTTTCAGCAGACCTAGTCTTCTCCGACGAACGGAGCGACGTCTTTCGACAGCGATCTCCTCAACACCGCTCGTGGAGAGTCGATGCCAGGTGACGCCAGCGCTAGAAACGCCTCGATGCCCAGCAGCAGCGAAGGTGTGAATCAGCTGGAAGAGCTGAGCTGCTGCCTTTCAAAACGTGAACAAATCATAGCATCGAGACTAAGACAGACAAGGCGCCCCGTTACTGCAGAAGGTAGTGCCATTACCTCCAAAAATAACCGTATCTCAAGCGAGTTAAAATGCATAAGGCACTTTAAGTGTTAAAAGCATTTAACATGAATACGGACACTTTCGGTTTGAGAAAATGAGGGGAAGGGCTTTTCAAATGGCTCGCTCCAAACTAATTAAATCTGATTATTTCACAGATATGTACAGAAATGTTTGAGATTTGCCTTTCTTATCATCAAAAATCTTCCTTGTTCTCTGTTCATTTTTGGAGAAATATAAATGCTACGAATAGCTAAAGGAGTTGTAGTATTATTAAGGTATGTATAGATCCTCAGAAAATATTTATTGTCTATGAATTATTTATATATATTTAAATGCCATAATTTAAATAAAACCAAATCTGAATGTTACAGAAAATTTAATAACAGTAAAGAAAATCAAAGAAAAGTGTCTGAAAATCCTTACTGAGAAATCACTACTTATGAAAGAACAGATTATTTACTTGTCACACTGTACGTTCAGATGTGGGTAAGGCACTATTGCCCATTACCAACTCTTAACACCTGCATACCATTAACAGGAGGAAGACTACTGTCTGTAGCTGAGGCACAACACCCAGAAATCATCTCAGTTCAAGCTGTGAGTAACAAAAGAAATGCAGAAATGAGTACAGTTTAGCTGGAAAGATAAACAACTGAATGGATACAAGCGATTCAGGCAACGTGGCACAAAAAAAGAAAATCAAAATATCACAATCCAGTCATTTTCTCAGCAAAAAACACTGCACAATAGAGCTTTGAGCTTGGAGGCTTCCCGTAATATTTGGGGATCACCATGCAGCAAAAAAAAAACCCCAGAAGGGCTGTGTGCATGAACTGCTGTCCGTGGGGTAAACTGAGGCAGCGCAGAAACATCCCCCTCGCCCCGAGGCCGGCGCAGCGGCTCACGCGAGCCCGGGACAGCGAAGGTCAACGCTACAGCCCCAGCTCGTACACCAAACCACGGGCACGAAGATCGAGTCTGAACGCTCGCCACAGGTTTTGGTGAAAACACAGAAAGGCACATAGGGCAACGGGCGGTGCTTTATACGCAGGAGAGATGGTAAAGTCGTTCTCTCCGACATCTCCTATATGAAAATACCTGACCGCAAAGCTGCTATATTTCTTTCTTATGAGCTCCACCTAATGGTCGATTTTGTTTTGACACAACTACTCACAAATTTTCCATTACAGATCTATTATGTTAAACTCAACAGAAAAAGATAGCATATTGTCAAGGTTAAAATTAAATAAGAGCATACTTGGTTGAAAGAAATAGATTCACCTATTTATGGAAAGGTGAAAGCAGTTATATTTATACAAAGTTGCAATATTTTGCAACTGCAAATAGGACTGTACAGAGTTGTAAATCAGTACTTCTTTAGCTTTACAGTTACGGAAATATGCCAGTTTGGCATATCGCGGCATAACTGCTGAGCAGTTAGCACGAAAACTGTGGTCAACGTGGAAATGCACTTGCAGTAGCTTGTGCCCAAAATATTCAAGGGAAAGTTTTTTTTGTGATTTTTTATGAGGAAAGACGGCTTTCTATGTTCATGGTTGAGAAAAAGGCATTTTGTGAAGAACCTGGTCATGGGCCTTGCATATCTATATAAAAATTACCTGATATTTGAGAAAGCTGATACACTTGGGTGTGAGAGTATTCCCTTAGGTTCTGGATGACGGCTCAGAGCTACGGCAGGGGCTTGGGCTACCAATATTGTTCGTTGCCATCCTCGAGTTAGCTCGCCTGGACTGCTTAAACACATAAAAACCAAAACATGTAACGGGATAAAACAGACCCTGTGAGCCAACGGGAGGTGCTCTGAACGGGAAGGGCGTCAGCCCCCGAAGCCCTGATCAGCTCTGAAGGCGCGTTAGCGCATCCTCAGGTCTCTGCCCGGGGATTTCTGCCTTTGCCTGCTCCCTGGGTGATGCTTCTTGGAGAAAAGAGCTTCTAGCTAATCCCTGCTTATTTCCCTTGTCTCCCACGACCGCTCCTTCAACCCGGGTAGAAAACGGCTGCATGAATTTGCTTGAAAAGCCCCAAAAGCACACATAGTCGTAAGCCGGGGGAATCGTTTTAGAACATGAGACGTTTGCTCTCCGCACGGGCGAAGCGAACTGTGCCTACTGTGGTGTGCAGCCTTTCGTTTCCCGGGGGGATAGATCAAGCGTCGACGGGACGCCGATCCCACCTTCCCGGCCGCTGCGCAGCACTGTGCCTAACATACAGACTTCAAGTGCTGTCCCAAATAAGGTAATCACAGGACTCAAGTTTCTTTTTTTTTTCGTCACTGGAGATGGGCAAAAATTTTCACAACAGCAAATAATTAATGAAATTAGAAAGTAATATAAATATTGAGGAAACCTCAGAACCTGCCAGCCCCCCACCATGACTCACTAATGCTGATCAGTTTTCTAACAAGTGAAAAAATCGTTCATATTTCAAAACAAAAGTTTAAAATAAACTTTCGTTTTCATTCGCTGTTTCCTATCTCATTTTAAAAGAATTATTCAGCTGCAAAATATTAATATTGGGATAGTTGCAGGTATTTTGTATTAATTTTGCAACAACTCCTTAAGCCACCAAATTTTCACAAACTGCACTCTCCTTTCAAAATCCAGACCAAGCCATGTCCTATCCCATTACATCACCAAACTAAACAGGCGACTGGTCTACGGAAAATGAGTAAACAATTAAAATCCACAGTTACCAATCTTCAAGAGCCAGAAGAAATAACTTGAAAAACCGTAACTAAAAAAATTCCTTTTTTCTACTTTATTTATATAAAAATGCAGAATATTTCTTTCAGTTTAAAATAATGCCTTGCCAGCTACGAGAAATAAGCTATCTTTTAAACAACAAGTAGCTTTCCCTTTTCACCCCTCTAAAAATAAATTTTACAGAAACAAATTTTAAATTTTGTCAATTAACTGAACTATTTCCCACTCCAGATCTCATATTATTGTAGGAAACGCTATCAAGCCTATCACATCATCAAGCTATGGCACTCAGAAACACTTCCTTGTACTACAGTGATATTTTATTGAAAATAAACTTCTGCCTCTAAAAAAGATCCAACGGAAAAGCAAACGCACAAAGAGGCGAGGTGTCACTTGGGGCTCTGGCATGCAAGAGCTGCGTACCTCCGCGTCGTACTCCCACAGCTGATTCCCTCGCATATGATGGCACTTCAGCATGATCACAGGGCCGTTGAGTCTTGAAACATCCAAGCACAAATCATCCGTGCGAATCTCTTTGTCAGCGGTGTAAGAAAATACCTGAAAACAGAAAATGATTACAATTGCAAAGTGTTAGCAACGCATATCCCTAAATTACGTTAGGGACAGGGTTGGGTTAGGGTTAGGGTTATGTTTAAGCTCTTCTCCGAACGCTGAAACGTTGGCCTGGATTTCACTGGAGCTTCCTGCAAGCCTCGCTACCTGTCAGTGTGTGCTGCACTTAAGAGAGGGAACATCGTGCTCAGGAAAAGAAATTGCTTTGACACCAAACCCAGAAAATACTTGGATATACACTCAATTTTACCTCCTGAGGATGATTCAGTGCAAGACAAAAAAGGAGCAAAGATTTTATCTGAGAATTCTAGAGGTTAATATAACTGTGGTCACCATCTTCAGAAATCAGATCACAGGTTTTTTTAATAGACCGATAAACTGACCCAATTATTTGAAGCATCAGAAAATTCTTGAATGAAATATTCTTACTAGTATCTATTTAAGGTCTTGCACCAAGGATTATCCCTGCTAGAGATCTAGGTACCCACACACTTCAGGAGCATCCGGTGTGTTAATGACATCAGGCAATAAAGCAGGAGGCGGGAGAACAATGCATCCCAGAAACACTGCAGCAAAGCAGTTACGCGTTTCAGTTCGAGCTCAGGAGACGGGGAAAAGGGGGCGGAATTAGCTCTAAACGCTTTCTGGGCTTTCCTTGGCGAACGGCGAATCCCTTGCAGTCCTCGTGGCCCCGCGCGGCAGCGCACGGAGACCAGGGCGCGACGAGGCGATCCCCGGCCCCGTGCCCAGCAGCGCCGCTGCGCTGCTGAGCCTCGCAACAACCACAACACCATGGCAGGGGGAGTTTTTAACACCTAAACACACACAGAAATAGGAGAAAGGTTGTGGTTAATAATGTAAATACTGTGACAAGCGGTATAATTATGATGTCCCACTCAAGTTCTGATGAGTATAAATCAGCATCTAGCCATACAGCTGAGAAAAAGAGTTGTCAAAATATGTAAAATATTCACAGTATTTCACAATTCACAAGGGCAATGTGCAAATTAGCAGAGCAGTGTAGTAGAAGCATGGACTAATACAATATATGGACATACACCTCCGCTACTTCCAGTGATTTCAGAGTTACTAAAAAACCTCCTCTTGCCAGAGGAACACAATACAATTAAGGGAGCCGAAACTGGGGTATGAGCCAGATATTTTATCTTTCATTGTGTCCATTACTTAAAAATTCATCCACTACCAGTTATCTTGAACCAACTCATAAGATTAATTTTTAATTTATTATTTGTTTTTATATGATAAACATGTATGCATCAGGCATTTTCTTCTAGCCCCAAAGACACAGCAGATGTTTTCTTCTGTGTTTTATAAAAAGCAAATACTTATATTTTGAAATTTACTTCCATTTTCATCTTTCTTTTTCCTCTTATCTTTGATAACTGCAATACACTGTTCCATTACATCTTCTGAAAGAATAAATGATGTCTGAATTAACAATTACAGAAGATGGGCCTGAAAAACATGCAATCTTAAGAAGGAAAAATGAATGCTAATTAAGAAGATGTAAAATCATCAGGCTAGCATTTTACTTACATCCATATTAACTGCAGATATAATTATATTAATGCCATCATATAAAAATAGAGGAGGGTGAACAATACATTGCATCTTACGGCTAATTAAATAATATATTTCATGCAACACGTTGCCAAGCGTTGCAGGAAAGGACATCCTGGCTCCGAGTCGCCTGCTACAGCAAGCACCGGGTTTTCATAGACCTGCAACCCGTTGCATCTGTTTGCTGGGTGCCATCTATGGGCTAATCCACAGGCTTCCAAGAGGTGAAAATAAAGTTCCTTCCCGTTTTCACTCGCTCGCTTTCCTCAGCTTTTACACTGCTAAAGGTGTAATGTGGGATAGGAGATGATACAACAACAGTTTGTACCTAAATTGTTCTTGCTGAGGAAATCTAAAACGGTAGGAGATAGCTCTAACGCAACAGCAGTTCTTCACCGCACGCTGCAAGAATCACCTCTGTGCTTGGATGTAATACTTCCCCTAACTCTGAATCCCATCTCTCTCTCCAGAAAGTCTCCAGACTCACAAACTACAAAAATATTCTCACAACTAATGCAGTATTTCTGTCTATGCAGACAGAGAAAGAAGAAATCAACCATCTCTTCCGCTTTTTGTGGAGCTGACCAAAACGAAAAGGGACGGAGTGTTTTCCGGGCAGCGCGACGTCTCGAGCAGGGGACAGGGAGCTCACGGGAACGTTCTCCGAAAAGCCGCTAATAAGGGATTCACGGATATTATTTTGGGGAGCTAGGGAAACAATTCTGTGGCTTCTACCGCTGACAGTGTACAATGGCTTTTACAAGGCTTACAAACACAATAAAGACATTTACTGTCTATCAGCGTTAGTTTTTTATAGTGGCTAATGTGCTTTTAATTTATTTTTATTAATTTACTTTGTTAATGTGTTTCCATACAGCAAGTTTAGATGCGGAAATAAGCCCTATAAAGCCAAAGACACGTGAAAGTCTATGCTTGGAGCTCAGGTACAGCAGCAGTGCGGACTGACAGCGATGCCTTATACATCCCCGACAATTTTATTCCTTCTTCTATGTTAAAAAGGAACTGACAAAGTATTCCCCTCTGACGAAAGTCTGAGAAACTAATCAGTTTGTTCAACGCCGATTAAGTGCAAAGCAACATCATTAATCAGAAATCAGTCAAGTGATCAATTCAAACGTGTAGTTTACACAGGCATAGGGATTTTAAGTGGCGCTTCCTCCGCTACTCCCTTGACGGCATATTAGGCAGCTCGGCGCTAGTTTTGCTGTGCAGCGAGCAGCAGGGCCGCAGCGCGCGCAGCGCTCCAGCTGGGTGCGCGCACCCCGGGCGAAAGGACATCGGTTTCAATGTTCTGGAGCCCTTGACCACGCAGGAGAACAGAGCGGATGGACCTACAGCGAGCTGTCACGGAGGCTGCCACGCGGCCCTGCCTTAAAGACTGCGTTATCCTGACGCACCCTGTCTTCGGGAAGAGAGAAAAAGGCAGAACCGCGCCACCCTGGGAGACCCGAGCTCTGCCTAGGAGGATGGATCCGTCTGTCCTCCTAGGATAGTCATAAATTGGACGTAACTAAGTACAGAAAAATCTAATTTCTTCTGACAACCATTTTAATTATCCTCGGTACTCCCAAGGTAAATTTTGAATTCACCTTTCACAATTGATTTAAAGTATTCTCATAAAAGCTGCAGGGAAGGCACTTCTCCTCCTGAAACTGTTTACACGTTAAATACTCAAAGTCCCCTTAGGCAAAACATGCAAATTGAAGTTATTACACTACCATTTAAAAAAGATCCAGGGATCTTACAGTTAAATTTCCAGTTAAGTCACTTTTGGGGGAAAAGATTGCTATTTTAGCTATTCATTTCCAAACTCCTGTTTAATTACCAAGTCCAGAAGTATCCACTGAAGTATCGTGGCACAGGAACAAACTCCGGAACGCACATGCAGAAAATACCAATAATGATTCCACAGGCAACTCACAGCACAGTCCGCTAGTCTGAGGATTTTCCTCCAGTATGGTTTTAAAAACATTTGTTGTTCAACAGGCAAGTCCATCACAATTACGTTACTCCTCTGAAGGAAAAAATATCCAGTTCCAATAGTGCCCTATTTAAAGAACAGTTCTTCAGAAAAATAAAAAAACTGATTTTCATTCCTACCTTGTTTAGTACGCCGTCTAATCACATGAACAGAAATGAATGTGGTTTCTTTGTGGAAACGATTCTTCAGAGAGTGGGCCCTTCACCACGAGTATTCTGGATCGTGTATATCCAGCCCTATTATAATGACGACCTATAGAACAGGTTTTAGCTTTTGCTCCTGTATCTTTGCACCCTGACAGAAAATACCTAAACTAAAAAGCATGCAAACCCACCAGGATGTTAAATCCCACCAAGAAGCTAGTTAAACTAATCAACAATAATTCTTCAGTTCATTAAATTACTTGAGCACATGTCCAACGGAAAGCACCTCGACAGCTCACTGATTGCACTGGAGCTACTCCTGTGCTTCGAAATAGCAGTAAGTTTTACTCCTAAACCGCCTAAACCAAGTTCTTTACTGGCATGAAATCGGCTCATCTTAACAAGCAGGCATTCATCTAAATTAGTGAATGATTTAAGTGCTGTCGGGCCAGAAGTGGCTTTCATGTTCGGGAAAGTTCATATAAAACTTACTCTCCTGTTCCCTCAACTTCTAATCACCATCGCAAGAACGTGCCTTTATCCTGGTGCTCAGGCCCAAGGAAAACGCTGTATTTACCACAAGAGAACATGGACTGAAGTTAGTAGCTGGAACTATACTAAACGGTCACAGGAATAAAAATAAAATAAAACCAAACAAAAGAAAAAAATCCCAGTTGGTAGCATCTACTCAACACGTATACAGCAACAAAAGCCCCTACCTGCAGGAAACAACTTTAGTTAAACAAAGATTCTTAAGGTTGCTGAGGAATTGGTTTTTTGTCATATCCAGAAAACGGCACTGGAAAATAAGCATGGACTCACCCCTGTTGAGTTAACGGCAAACATAGTTTTCTGACACTAAAATCTTTATATTCCCCTGTGGAATCTTTTGCCCTTCTCTAAACCACTGCTGTTGCATTGGGGTTTCAGGTGCCTGCAGCGTTTTTGCACAGAAGCCACAATAAAAACTGCCTTTTGGCTCTGCAGCGGCGGGGGTTGTTACGTTTTGTTCTGTAGATAGCTCTCACTTCCCAACGGATGGACGCCTCACCACCTGAGACAAAAGGCGGTCATTGCTTCCAGGATGGCAAGCTGTTCATTATGCTACTCTCTTCCCCCTACTCCTGAAAAACAACATTATGTCAAAATTGCACTTATTAGCAGGTACAGCAAATACTCTTATGCTGCATTTTATCTATCTTGACTTCATTACTGCAACGTGATCCATCTAATGCTAGTTTTCCTACGCTCCCTGGTGA